GTGATACTTACTCTAAAAGCATCTGGTGTTTAGTCTACAAATACTAATAAAGAAGAGAAAAGCAGTTGAAAGACACACAGTGCCTCATTCATACAGCAGAAGAAAACATGTTTAAGGGTCTTATTTGGGGTTTTTTTGAACCAAACAAGTTTTGCTGCATTCAACAAAACAGACAACTACTCTTCGTATAACCTCTGCATTCCCTGGGACCTCTTCTAGTGATGATTATCAAGACTATAATTTCCTATTTGAGCATGTCAACTCCTGTAATTATTAGCTCCTGTTTGTAAATAAATACCACAATTATAATATCTAATTTTAGAATCATGGAATAGTTGAGGTTGGAAGGGACCTCTGGAGAACACCTTGTCTAAACTACCCTCTTGAAGCAGGGTCACCTACAGCAGGTTGCTCAGGGCCAGTTGTGTTTTGAATATCTCCACAGATGGAGACTCCACAGCCTCCTTGGGCAACCTGTTCCTGTGTCTGATCACCCCTGAAGTTAATAAATAAATAAATAGCTTTTAAATAAATAAATTATTTTATTTCATTTTGTGCTCACTGCCTCTTGGCTGTCCACTGGACACCACTGAGAAAAGCCTGGCTCCCCATTCTTTAGTTCCTCCCACCAGGTATTTATCTACCTTGATAACATCCCCTCAAGCCTTCTCTTCTCCAGGCTGAACAGCCCCAGCTCTCTCAGCCTTTCCTCACAGGAGAGATGCTCCGGTCCCTTAATCATCTTCATGGCTCTTCGCCAGACTCTCACCACTGCAGCTATGTCTCTCTTTTCGTGGGAAGACCAGACCCAGACATAGTACTCCAGATGAGTCTCACCAGTGCTGAGTAGAGAAGGATCACTTCCCTGACCTGCTGGCAACACTCCTCCCAATGCGGCCCAGGATACCACTGGCCTTCTTTGCAGCAAGGGCTCACTGTTGGCTCATGTTCAACTTGGTGTCCACCAGGACCCCCAGGTCCTTTTCTACCAAGCTGCTTTCTAGCCAGCTGGCGCCCAGCAGGTACTGGTGTATGGGGTTGCTCCTCCCAGGTGCAGGACCTTCCACTTCCCTTTGTTGAACTTCTAGAGATTCCTGCTGGCCTGTTTCTCCAGCCTATCGAGGTCCCTCTGCATGGCAGCACACCCATCCAGTCTATCATCCACTCCTCCCAGCTTTGTGTCATCTGCAAATTTGCTGAAGGTGCTCTCTGCTCCATCGTTCAGGTCATTAATGAAGACACTAAGCACTACTGGTCACAGTATCAGTCTCCAAGGTACAACACTAATGACTGGCCTCCAACCAGACATCCTGCTGCTGATCACAACCCTTTGAAGCTAGCATTTCAGCCAGATTTCAATCCACCTCACTGTCCGCTTATCTAGTCCATACTTCATCCGTTTGCCTAGAAGGATGTTATGGGAGACAGTGTCTATACTTGCTGTGCTTGAGATAAACAACATCCTCAGCTCTCCCTTCATCCACCAAGGCAGTCATCTCATCACTGAAGGCTATCAGGTTGGCTAAGCCTTCATAACACCATGTTGATTACTCCCGGTCACCTTCTTCATTATGAGCTGATTTTCTTTCCTGCCTATCAAATAGTTTATGTGCCATCTCCAGTCAGAGGTCACGTTCCTGTGATTCTGATTTGGCTCTCTAAGGACATTCTAGTTGGCAAAAGTGAGAAAAGTTGATCCAAATAAATACAAACTGTGAATGTGAAGTCAGTTCAACCCTTGTATGTTTTAATTTAATGTGGGACATCAAGTTAACAGAGTCAATGCATCACATAATCACTCAGTAGGGATGCGTAACAGAAATACGTAGATCAGTCTGAAAGAAGTATGAATGGAAGTGCCTGCATGCAAAAGCACCAGAAGAAACAATACAGAGAACGGGTTATGAGAACAGCATGTATTGATGAGGAAGGACACAAGTGAGAGCAGTCAAACTGCCAAACAATGAGAAATGTCTTGCTACATCTAGATCAGAAGGCTGGCACTCTGGTGAGGCCGTACTAGAGATGACCAGCCAGTTGGAGACCCTCAGCAAAGCTACAGCACGTCACCTCTGCCACCAGGAAAACAGGCTGGAAGCCACAAACCCACCCGCAATGAGGAAACAGAGACAAAGGACAGCAATGACAGGCTGAAGCAAGCAAGCTTCTGAGGGAAACATCACACCATGAGAACTGTGTGGCTCCTAAAGAGTACAAAAACTTTGCCTAAAAGCCAGTGTATTGTCATTAATCAAGAGGAACCCAAGAGACATAGTGAGGACTTTACAGCCACTGTCCCTCATCCTCACCACACACAAGTGATCCTGGCCAGGCAGAGGCCTTGGTGTTGGTGAGCACATGGCTATCAGTATGAGCGGCATCTATGACAGAAGGAGTGTAAGTGAGCGAAAACAGGTTCATTTAAAGTAATTACCATCCTCCCCTCCAGTAAGATCCTGCACTGTGTTTCCTCACATTGAGTTCTTGAAGTCTTTCGCAATTTCACTGTTTTAAATACACCACCTTAGGTTGAGAGTTTTCCCTATTTAGATTAACTCTCCTGACTATGCCACTAATCCTGACAACAACCTTAACTAAAAGGCCTGAGTTTCAGAACACTTCCCTCCATGGGCTTAGTTGTTCCTAGCTTAACTATCAAAAGACTGTTCACGACACAGTTTAGATCCCCTCCTATGTCTTATACCTGAATGAGGAATGAGTCAGATGCCCAGTGAGTTAGCAGAACCCAACTCCCAGCTGTACTCCTTACAAAGGTGGGACGTTACTAACACAGCAGAAGGTAACTTAAATCTTCTAATTTTCCCACCCCTGATAACCCCAGGTCTCAGCCCTGAATTCTCCCTCCGTTCCAATAATTCCTACTAGTCCTTGCGTACTTCTGTAACACACAGGCGAGCGCCTCGACTCCATGTCTGCTGTACTCATCTGTGCTTTTTCTCTTACAGGCCAGAATCCAGAACATGCGGAATCTTGCATAGGCAGTGGATTCACTGTCAAATCCTTCAGCCGCCTTCCCATTCTCATCAACCAATGGTTCAGAATTTTATACTCTGCTTTTGAAAGGCCCCATGTGCTGAACCCATACGAGGCACTATGCACTAAACCTTATGCACTGTGCCTTAAATGCATTGCAAAATACTTGCCCAACAAAGCACATCATGTACATACATACCCAATACAAATCGAAAAATTAATGAAAAATATCATCATGTGGCACACAATATATTACATAGGAAAATGAGAAAGGTAGGCCTAAGAAAACTGACAAATGTCTCTTCCAAAATGTACCACGAGGACTTCAACTTTAACCTCTCATCAGAAAAATACACACTGAGTAAACAACATAAAGATAATTTTATTGTACTTGGAAAGTCCTTAAATTACTCATTTTCAAGAACTGAGCAAAGGACTAAACCCTAAATGTCAAACTGTAGTCTTTCACTCCCAAATACTCTCTTTCGGTAGGAGAGCTCAAATCTCAACTTCAATTTTAATAAAATCTTTGCACAGATCTTCTTCTTTCTGGCTGGAATAAATATTAGTACAGCAAGCCCCACTCTTTCACAACATCAGAGTTTCAACCAGTATGGAAAAAGCCCTTGCTTAATAAACTATGAAATTAAGCAGCACAAAAGTAGATTAATAAATATATTGAGAGAGAAAGAAAAAAGGTGGGGTGTTAGAGGAGGATTCCTTCCGGTGGGATGTTCTCAGCCCATTTTAGGCCACAGCAAACACACATTTCCCATCAGTGCTCCCACTCCAAGAAATAATAAAAGCAGTTTTTTTCAAGATCAAATGTTAAGCCCATCCATAGCTATACATATTCCAACAAAAAAAATCACAGCAAAAATAGCAGACCTTTCAAATGACAGCTTTATGAACCTCTGTGGACATTTTTAACAGAAGATTTCCATCCTCAAAAACTTACAGTCAGGCTCCTCTAATTTGCCATCATTCATTACAAGCCCAATACTTGTGCTCCAGACGCTCAAAGAAGCCTACCTTTTGACAGCATGGTCTTGGATAGCTGTTCACTCACTCCCCCCCAGTGGGATGGGGGAGAGAATCGGAAAAAAAGTAGGACTTGTGGGTTGAAATAAAGACAATTTAATAGGACAGAAAAGAAAGGGAAAATAATAATAATGATAAAAGAATACACAAAACAAGCAATGCACGATGCAGTTGCCCACCACCCACTGACCGATGCTCAGCCAGTTCCTGTTAGCGCCCCCCCTGCCAACTCCCCCCAGTTTTTGTTCAGCATGAACAAAAAAACCCAAAAAAACAAAAACAAACAAACAAACAAACAAAAAACCCTTTGGCCAGTTTGGGTCAGCTGTCCTGGCTGTGCCCCCTCCCAGCTTCTTGGGCACCCCCAGCCTCCTCACTGGCAGGGCAGTATAAGAAGCGGAAAAGTCCTTGACTTAGTGTAAGCACAGCTCAGCAACAACTAAAACATCAGTGTGTTGTCAACATTATTCTCATCCTAAATCCGAAACACAGCACTATACCAGCTACTAGGAAAAAAATTAACTCTATCCCAGCTGAAACCAGGACAGTATTATACAGCAACACTCAGCAAATATATAGCTTTTGGGCAAAACAAATAATATCTGATTTTTGATTGCATGATTATCACACATTCGATTAATTGGTTTAGTGTAATCACTGTTTATAAATCAACTAATGAAACAGCGAGTTCTGATAATTCAGCTTGTTTGATCATGCATCAGTCTTCTGTTTCAATTATTAGCTTGTACCGAAGCAGAGAGAAAAGCTCAGAGCTTTACTTTCTTTAAATATTAAAAGTGTGCGTGCGTGCGTGTGTGTGTATAAATATACAAGCATATATAAAAAGTAATAAACTAAGGATTTCATTACTTTACTTTCCACACGCTACTGCCATTCTTAACCTTGCGCCTTACTTTTCCTGTAAAAACGCCGGGTGAATGAGAAGAAATGAAGACCATCCTTACCTTAATGTTGCAAGCTTGTTCCATCAGTCTTCTGGCGTTCTCTTCAGCTCTGTACCTCTTGGGCAACTGAACCCTGAAGAATTTTAAAGCTCCTTCAAAATCAGCTTGTAGAAGGTCCTCTTTTGAGGTCTGCAATTAAACACAAGGAACTACAGTAAACACTGAGAACATGGAGTCATGCTCTTTTACTGGATTTGTCATTTACTGAATGTATTCCAAACCACCAATATTCACATTAGCTCAAAAACATCCTCCTTGAAATCAGCTCTCTAACCCCTACCTCATAAAACAAAAAGGAGGCTAAAGCATATCCAACAAATCCCAGGCAGAGCAGCACAATCAGAGGACTGTAACGCATTAATGTATTTTATCCTTCTATACCTGCAGGGTAAGAAAGAGATTCTGGCTCAGCCTGTCAAGATGTCACTCAGTGAGGAGAAAAAAAAACAACCAAGCAAACAACAAAAACCTAGGAGAATTTATAATGTTTTCTAGAAAGCTTGTGCATTAGACCATTGCTGATTCTCATAATGCTGCCCTAAAAAAGACAATGTATATATAGATATACATGGTTGCAGACATGAACAGCAGAAGCAGAAATGCATATGACTCATAAGAGGCATCAGCAAGTCAATGTGCAGAAGTCTGTGACACAATTTCTCAAAGAACACTGTGCCAGAAAATGTTTTACATGCTTATTTCTATATCTCTCATAACACAGTAACTCTCAGTGTGGTATCAAGCCTAACAGGTCAGAAAATGTTAAACATTCAACATTAATCCAGTTCTGCTACTAACGGAGTGATATGATTCACGGGGACAAATGTATTCATCTTCAGATATACTAAGAAGTACACCAAGAGATTTAACAGATATGAAATACCAAGCCTTGGGATAGTTCAAAAGGTTCACAGAAATGGTGTGTCCAGACAAGACATTTAGGACGTCATCTCAAAAATGTGAATTTCAAGATCTTTAACCCAGAAAGAGTGAACAAAAACGTGTCAACGTACAGACTAGTATCATGGAGACCGGCGCTGTGTACTGCAGTATTATTACTACAAATACCTCAGGAGCAGCACAGGTACCCTTGGTTAAGGTTAATTGGTGAATTAATTGCTCAAGCACCACAGCCAACATTTTCATGTGTGCATCCTCCGCTTTCTCATGAGTAACACCCTTTGTAATTTTTTGCCTTGTTATACGCAGTAGGTCTATTACATACACATAGTTTCAGAGTTTGATTCTTAACTATATTGTCATCCACTCAAAATCCTTTGCTGTCTCCAATTTCAGCCAACGTCTTTCCAGAAACACACTTCAGCCAAACACAACAGATCTGACTCTACACAGGGAGAACTGGGAGAAACTGTGCAGCCTTTGACATGCAAGAGGTGAGCCTTGATGATATCATCATTTCTCTTGGGTGTTAAATTCGTTTTAAATAAATAAAAATAATTCTCACTACAAAGCAGAGAAAAATTTTACTTTTATTTACAAATCCTCCCTACACACCCTACAAACTAGCATCACTAGTTCATTTACATGAAATTAATTGAATCTACTATGTAAAAGCCCTTCTTAAAAGTACAAAAATATTGTTTCCCAAAGCAAACTGAACTTGAATATGGTATTGCAGATATTGGAAGCACATAACAGTAATACTCAAACCTAGATTGACATATTCCACATTTCTGCCGAAAATGCTACAGCACCCTACCGAGAGGGTCTATCAAAAATAGCAATTTACCCCAGCTTTTATTAGGTGGGGGGAAGGGAGAAGGGTTTTTGAAGGGATTTTAAATTATGCACCAAACTCGGAACAGCAACAGAAGTTAAGGGGGTACTTTCATGGTTATCCAGTATCTTTGATAGTGGAGAGCATGAGCTGACATCAGAGGTGTGCCCCCCAAACGCTGATAACCATCACTGCTCTGTGCTCAGTCTCACTGGGGGAATGGGCATAGCAATACGCCCTTTGATTTCCTCCATCAAGAGCCTATAAGGACAAAGTCTAGATTGTGCATGTTTGCCTATCACCCTATCTATTTTTGGAGATTATTATACTGTATACCCTAACGGGCACTCCACAGTAGTTTTTGCTACATTAATCACAAGGAAATAGCGAGAAGACTCCAAATACAACTGGAGTAGCTTCAGCGGATCCATTTCCCCATGACTGCAGCATTTTTAAGGCAGACAACTTTCTGTCATCAAAATCTTCAAGAGTTCTCTCAAGATCTATTTGATCCTCTCTTCCTTCACAGCCAAGGAGGCTGCTGGGTCATCACTGCAGGGACACAAGAAAAGCTGCCTTCAGGATGCTGATGAGAAACATTCAGCTTTACAAACTATCACATCTGATTCTGTCCACAAAAAATTTGGCAGGAGGACTCTTTGGCTGAGACTCAATCAGACAAGACCGATGTAGTGTTGACAGAAAGCTGGTGCAGTTGGGTATCTAATGAATCAGACCCACTCATGAATGCAGCTATGGACAACACATCCGTTTCCTCTTCCTAACATCATATTTCTTCTGGACGAGTTTTACGGAGGTTAGATAGGCTTTTGCCACACTTGAGACTAGATCACCATTTTGTATCCATGATGGGCTCTGTTTAAGATTACCTGCAAGTTGTAGAGCCTGGTGGGAGCAGGCTGTCACACAGGCAGCACACAGCATCGCTGCCAAAGCCCGCGCTGGCAACCAAGCTGCTTCTGGGCAAAGTTCAGCTGGGTAATGTTGATCAAAAAGCAGTAAAAGGTTTGATAACCAGCTTACTTGAACGTGATTTCTCTCCTTCCCTCTCAGTGATGCTGACAGCTGTGAACAGTATACAATTCAAACAGATTTCCCTATCGCATTGCAAGTTTGCCTTCTTTGGAGACAAGCTTTTCTACATTTCCAGTCCCCTCCTCTTCCTCATGCTGTGGCGGCCTTTCCCATCCTCCTCTGAAACCCGGCCATGAACACAACTCTGACCCCAGGTGCAAAGGGACACCAGCCAACCTGTAAAACCCATTTTGCTGCTGTTCTTGGTTTTACACGGAAGGTGCTCAGATACTGCTGTGCTGAAAGACGGGGTAGTCTCCAAGACAGGCTGACTGGTACATGCTTCCAACAGAGTGGGAGGGTGTTTTCAATTAAGACTTCTGGACAGTTGCTCCCAGCACAAAACAAACCCCAAACACACTTTTTGCCAAAGTTTTAGCATTTTATTAGGAGCTGAGCTACCCTAATTTTAAACAAGTATTCTTCCTAGAGGTCCTGGCTAGACATTTTTATTTTAATTTTGTATTTAATTTATTTTTCTTAAATTAACATAATGCACTGAGCGTTTTGGAATTTATTTTAGAAATCAGAGGAGAAAAAACCCTAAAAAATGTAATAATCAACAATTAAATTACCCTGCCAAACTTTAGAGAAGCAGATGCACCTACCAGTTATGTCCATAGCACTTCATTTAAAAATAAATACAAAAAAAGACAGAGGCAAATATGTCAGAAAAACAGCAATTACATGTAAAACATTTAAAGTCAGATTTAATTCTCTTAGGCTTCTGCTTGAATCACTGTTGTTATAATATTTTAAAAGCCCCCGAACAAATTACTTTCATAAAATTGTAACTATTGAGAATTTTGAGGTCTCAACCCTGAAAAATCTTTAGTCAATGAAAATGCCATAAGAATAATGGTGAATCATGGAAATAAAAACTTATGTGACAGTTTGCTAAGATCATAGTTATGAAAAATTATAAACCATCACATTGTATAATTCGATAAAATGAGTGGTAGAGCCTACACCGTTCACCTCTTTCTACTTTGCTGAATATTTAAATTTCATTAAAATAATCTATTGATCAATAAATTAGTTTCACTATTAAAATCACAAGAAGTCAAAGTAACAATTTGAGAGCGACATTAACCGAGTTGCGTACTTTGTGTGTTTTCTGCAAACTAATCTCTTCAGGTTAGGAAGCAACATAAAGACAGAGTATAAAAATTTTTTTAAATAGCAATGTTGGCATCCTAAGATTCACACTTCTTGACATTTTGTGATTTTAATCAATAAATCATAAAGACATCTCAGGAACCTTTTGGCAGCTGTCTGACAGGCAGAGATTCGTAAATTCATTGGTTTGCGTCACTCATCTTGGGAACTCATCAACAACTTATTTCACTAAAGCATCTGTAAGTTTAATGAGCCAATAATTAAAGTTTGGCAGATGCATTGCAGTTTTGTGTAGTCAGGGACCTCAGGGCATTTTTTATTATTCTAGATGTAATTTTCAAATAATCCTATTTTTGGTTAAAATATATTTTTACAACCAGGCAAAAGAGGAAACTGAGAACTATGACCAAAAGTCTCGGCTTGCGTTTTAGGGTTTGACTAAATATGCCATTGAATGTCCTTCCCACATTGCTTAAGTATTTCAATATATTCATAAAATTGTCTTATATGGATTAGATGAAACTAAGGGAAAGCTCCTTCCCAAAAGTACTTGGGAAGGTTTCAAATCTAAAGGTAAAGTTCTGGAAAACTGCAACTGTTCAAAAAACATAACAGAATTTGAGAGACTTAAAGGATGTTCATTGTGAATATTTTTTTTTCCACATAAATAACATTACTACTACTGTCCCCAAAATATTTAGGGAAATGTGATTAAGATAAAGGACAAAGCCTTGGCTTTTTTCTTTAATTTAATTTCTCTGTCTTCAATTATTCTGCAGTCTCATTTATTACTGACTATATCAACTACAACTCCTATTCCCACCTGGGAACTAATACAGCAGAAGAAATTTTGGATCAACCACGCTACACTTCCTTAATTTAATTCTTCCTCTTTCATACAAACAGATAAAAATGACAAATTTCTATAGAATTCCATGTATACAGTACATATATTTAGAATTTCTATAGAATGCCAGTGAGCATAAACTGCATTTTTTACACTGTAATGAGCATATGTCAGGAACAAGACCAAGTTAAAGGCTGAAAAGAACTGGCCATACTCTACTCCACTATTTAGTTTGCACTGGTAAATTCAAAATGTTTACAAGTATCCTCACACTAATTTTTCAGAACATAATATTTAATCTATAACACACACAGACATGGTTTTAAGTTC